TGTCCCCTTCCTTATACTCCAGACAGAATTAAGTTACCTTTTGTTTATATTCACTTATATTCATGGTGAACATACATCAAATTGGTTTTATTTTTTTTAAAGATTTATTTATTTATAAGTCAGCGTTACACAGAGAGAGGAGAGGCAGAGAGAGAGAGAGAGAGAGAAATCTTCCACCCGATGGTTCACTCCCCAATTGACTGCAACGGCTGTAGCTGTGCTGATCCAAAGCCAGGAGCCAGGAGCTTCTTCTGGGTCTCCCACACGGGTGCAGGGGCCCAAGAACTTGGGCCATCTTCTACTGCTTTCCCAGGCCATAGCAGAGAGTTGGATTGGAAGTAGAGCAGTCCGGTCTCGAACCGGCGCCCATATGGGATGCCGCCATTTCAGGCCAGGGCGTTAACCCACTGTGCCACAGCACCTGCCCCTGAAATCGGTTTTAGAATCACGATCATTACCCTGAATTGTGATGATGCCTTTGTCTGTTCTAAAATATTGTAAACGCCGGTAGTGTGCATGACTTACCTCTTGCTGCATAACAGATACAGCAAGATTTAGTGGCTTAAGACAGCAAACAGCCACCTCAGGGTTGCTGGGACTCAGGAATTTGGGAGAGGCTTACCTGGAGTGTTTTGGCTCCAGGTCTCTCATGAGGTCACCGGGGGCTGCATTCATCTGAAGGCTTGACGGCGCTGGGCAATCTGCTCCCCCTTTCCTGGCAAGTTAGTGCGGGCAGCTGGCAGAAGGCCTCAGCTCCTTGCCATGTGGACCTGTCCAGAGCACCATGAGCATCCTCACAAGGTGCCATCTGGCTTCCCCCAGAGCAGGTGATCTAGGAGAGGGAAAGGAGAGCCCACAGTGCCTTTCATAGCCTAGTGCTGAGGTGCAACAACCATCATGCATACCTTATTCTGTTAGCAGGGAGCCACTAAGCCCAGCCCACCATCAAGAGGAGGGGCATGAATAACCACCATGTGCCACCTTGCTCTATTCTATTTTTTTTTTTTTTAATTTTTTGACCGGCAGAGTGGACAGTGAGCGAGAGAGAGAGACAGAGAGAAAGGTCTTCCTTTGCCATTGGTTCACCCTCCAATGGCCGCCACGGCCGGTGCACCGCACTGATCTGATGGCAGGAGCCAGGTACTTCTCCTGGTCTTCCATGGGGTGCAGGGCCCAAGGACTTGGGCCATCCTCCACTGCACTCCCTGGCCACAGCAGAGAGCTGGCCTGGAAGAGGGGCAACCGGGACAGAATCCGGCGCCCCGACTGGGACTAGAACCCGGTGTGCCAGCGCCCGCCGCAAGGCGGAGGATTAGCCTAGTGAGCCTCGGCACAGGGGCTCTATTCTATTTTTAACCTTTCCAGTGAGCTGTTTTAATTCCAGGTGATACAGAATTTGCAAAACAAAGACCAAAATGCAAACTCTGGAAGGATTCTCAGCTGGGTTTACTTTAAATTCAGTTAAGAATGGCTGGATGGGCCGGTGCCAAGGCTTCGGATCAGTGCGGTGCGCTGGCTGCAGCACACAGGCTACAGCAGCCATTGGAGGGTGAACCAATGGTAAAAGGAAGACCTTTCTCTCTGTCTCTCTCTCACTCACTATCCACTCTGCCTGTCAAAAAAAAGGCTGGATGAAAACAACTAAGGAGACAGTGAGCTACCTATAGTGATTCCCCCCCCCTTTTTTTTTTTTTTACAAAAGTTTGTTTGTAAATGTACAACAGGCTCCAAGATAGCACTTCATTCTAAACACTTCATTCTAATTATGGGTGGCAAAAGATGCTACAGCCAGGAATCCGGTTGTTCAGATAGGACTGGAATCAAGGGCACCATTACTTCAGGCACAAGGAACAACTCACTTTTTGCCGGATTTCTTAATTCCACCTGTGGCCAAGGAGCCCTCCCCCGTGACGGTTGCTTTTAGCTCTTTGAGTTTCTTCTCCTTTTTGTTTTTGCTTGAAAGCCTCATCCATCTCCTTGGCTTGCTTCTTGGGCTGTGTCAGGGGCTTCTTCTTGCCACCTTGCCATCTGGTCATGGCCACCTCTTGAAGGGCAGAGGATCAAATAATTTGAAGACACATTTTAAAACCACATGGGAGGTGTGTTGTGTTTTAGTCCCCCAGTAAGCAGCACAGTGTGGGGCACTTAGTAGGTGCTCCACAAACATTTCTACTGGAATTAATATTAAAAGGAAAGATATTGGACAGGAAAACCCATGGGTAAGTAGCGTGGGTCAGGTGTAGAATGGTGGAGGTGGGAGTGGATGGGAGCCACTCGGGGAACTCACAGGACTGTGGAAACCTGGGAGCCAGCAGATGATGACTCAAGTACTTAGGTCCCTGTTACCCACAGGAAAGACGCAGATGGAGTTCCACACTCCTGGCTTTGGCCTGGCCCAGCCCGGGCGGTTGTGGGCATTTGGAGCTGAACCAGAAGATGCAGATCTCCATCTCTCTCTCCCTCTGCTGCTCTTCCAAATAAATAAATACACATAAAACATATTTGTCAGGACTTTTAGCCCAAACTCTTGTTAAAACCAGTTTGGCAACATCCCACTTTTTGATTTTTTAAGATTTATTTATTTGTTTGAAAGAGTTGCAGGGCTGGTGCTGTGGCTTAGCAGGGAAAGCTATCTCCTGCCGTGCAGTCATTCCATAGGAGTACCAGTTCAGGTCCTGGCTGTTCCACTTCCGATCCAGCTCCCTGTCAATGTGCCTGGGAAAGCAGCGGAAGATGGTCCAAAGGCTAGGACTGGACCAGGATGAAGGCGGGAGCCTGGAACTCCATTGGGTTCTCCCACGTGGCTGGCCCAGACCCAGGTACTTGCATCATCATTTGCTGCCTCCCAAAGTGTCCATTACAAGGAAACTGGGTAAGAAGCTGAGCAAGCACTCAAACCCAAGCACAACCTGCTCATTACTCTCCCTGCCCATTCCGCTACTGGATTGCTGGTGTCCAAAGCATTTTTAATGCCCACCCTCACAGTATTGACCCATTAAGGGAAGACAAGTTCAAAATGTTCAGCCTAATAGACATGGTTATAGGCTGAAAATTTGAACCTGTCTTCAAAGATGGAAAATCGAGGTGGTCCACAGTTTATCATGAGACTAAGGCCCAGCTTGGGACTGGTGTTGTGGCACAATGTGTTAAGCCGCTGCCTGTAATGCCAGCATCTCATATGAGTGCCAGTTTGAGTCTCAGCTGCTCCACTTCTGATCCAGCTCCCTGCTAATGTACGTGGGAAAAGTCGCAGAAGACGGCCCAAGTGGGTGCACCCTTGCTTCCCGTGTGGGAGACCCAGATGGAGTTCCAGGCTCCTGGCTTTTGCCTAGTTGTTGAAGCCATTTAGCGCATGAACCAGGGGCTGGAAGATCTCTCTCTCTCTCTGTCTCTCCCTCTCTCTCTGTAACTTTGCTTTCCAAATAAACAAATCTGGAAACAAAGAAAAGATTAAGGCCAAACTTTAAGAAAGCTCACCAGTGAGTGCTGTGCCACAGCAGGTTAAACTGCTTCTTGGGATGACTGCATTTCATTCAGGAGTCCCTGGTTCAAGTCCCCGTTACTCCAGTTCTGATCCAGATTTCTGCTTATGTGTTGGGGAGGCAGCAGATAACAGCTGAGGAGTACTGAGTCCCTGCCACTCACATGGGAGACCCAGGTTAATTTCCTTGCTCCTGGTTTCAGCCTGGTCATGCCCTCCCTGTTGGAGACTTTTGGGGGTGTGAACAAGCAGATAGGGTGATTCTCTCTCTCAAATAAAAAGCTCTTTCCATAAACAAAGGTCAAATGGGATTTAATCAAATTTAGTATCCTAGTTTCGCATTTCCTTAAGAGTCAAAAACTGAAGACTAGATGTTAAATACCGAAGAATGCAAATTTAGGAGTAGAATTTCTCTAGGACTCCCATCCACGCTCAATCACATTTCAGAAACTGTGCCGTTTTTAAAGAAATCATATTTGCCTAGAAGTGAAAGAACCGCGGAGCTAATATAAAAAAGGAATAGGAATTAAATAGTTCTCTGTTCATTTTATATTTCTGTACGTCTAGAAAGTGATTAGCTGACTCCTTCATTACCGGTAGGATTAAATCCAGTATTTGCCAATGTAAATTAACTTATTAAAAAGACCTTTTGTCCTTTCAGAAGTACATTTAAGACAATATTAAACTTAAGATGTAATATTCAATGAGAATGTTCCTCTTTCTTTTGCAGTATTTATTCTCGCTTCTTCAGATCAATCGAGACTGAAGGCAGTCGTGGGTGAGAAGTGTAAAACTAATTTACGGTAGCACGAGGGCCTCAGAAGCTAGGGACAAAACTGCAGTCAGCGACCCGGACTCTCTCTCCCCTCTGATAACGCAACTCCCCAGGGTCTTTTGTTTGCTGCACTTGCGAGGCCACCCAAACGGAGCCTAGTCCTCTGCACGCTCTCAAGACACAGTCGATTCAACGTCCGTTCTTATCCTGTCCGTGCAGGACGCTGTGGCCAGCGAAAACGCCGGCCCGAGGCTCCCCTGCCTCCTCTCAGCCAGCGCAGCAGCCTCAGCCCCAGGGACCGCGGCGCACGAGCCGGGGCACCCCGCACCCCGCGGCCGCCCAGCCCTTCCCTCCCCGCGGAGGAAGGAGCGGGGCTCGAGGAGTGGGAAACCCAGACCCACTTCCTGTCCGGGCAGGCCCGGGCGTCCGCCTCCTCCGCGGCCTGCTCCCTCCGCGCGGGAAGCGGCCGAGACCGGAGCGCCGGGCATGCGGTCGAGCGCGGAGCGGGCGCGGCGCGAGGAAGAGCGGGGCCGCGCTCGCAACCCCGGGGCGCCCGCAAAGCCGCAGCGGCCTCCCGCGCGTCCCCGGCGGCGCGAGGGTTAAGCGCGCAGGAGGCGGGGCCGCAGCGAGCCCTGCGCGCCGAGTGCGGGCCGCGGGTGCGGAGGGGGCTGCGGCCGGGGGCGGTTCCGGGCGGGGGCGAGGCGGAGGAAGGGGGCGGGGCCCAGAAGTTGTTCCGCGCTGGGCGAGCGGGCGGCGGGTCGGCGGGCGGACCGGGCCGGGGCTGGCGAAGTTTGCGCTGCGGCTCGTGAGCGCAGGGTGCGGGCCCGGCCGGCCGCTGCGCGCCCGCTGCCATGGCTTTCCGCAGGAGGACGAAAAGTTACCCGCTCTTCAGCCAGGAGTTCGTCATCCACAACCATGCGGACATCGGCTTCTGCCTGGTGCTCTGCGTCCTCATCGGGCTTATGTTCGAGGTGAGAGGGAACGGGGAGAAGGGTGTCGGAGGGGTCGGCGCTGCTGCGTCTCGCGCGGCACCCGGCACACCCCTGCGGGTCCCAGGAGACCTCGTGGGAGCCGGATTGCCCTGTTGCCCGGTTCATTATCTGCACCCCGGGCTTTGTGCGCTGAACCCCCTCCCCCCGCCGTGTGCACCGTTGCCACCCTCCCACCCCCACCCCCCACGTCCTGAACCCAGGTCAGCCCAGAAAGCACCTCCTACCGGCGCCGTGGCAGCGGTGCCATGCTTTGCCGCCCCCTTGGGTACCCACCGTATCCTGCAGCTCAGTCTGCAGCCCTGAAACCCCAGCCTGGCCTCGAACCAACCGCAGTGCTGCCACCCTGGCCCCACGCGTGAGGTTCCCTTTCTGGCGTCCCGGAGCCAAGCTGGGAGACTCCCAGACCCGCAGGCGTTGCACAACCCACCCGCTACCCCCTAGCTCCACAAGTGGCCGCCGCCGGCTCTTCTGGGCTTTTCCAGTGGTAGGGACCCGAATCCTTTGCTACCTCCCGTCTGATTTTGTGGGTGCTGTGCATCTTCCAGTCTGGAACGTGCTCTGCGTGTTCACGTGCGGGCCTGGCCCCATCCCAGCGCCAGCCTCTGCGGTCCTCTTGCTCCCTCTTTTTTTCTCTCTGGCCGAATGGGCCACTTACTCCACCGGCCTGTACCGTTGATCGCTTTGTGCAGCTTTGTGGGCTGTCCTTTCCGATCCATCCATGGTGGACCTGAACCTCAACCCCTAACGGGGCAAAGAGAGGGTCAGGGACTCTCTCTATTTGTAGCGGAAAGGAGGTTCTCCTGTAGTTGTAGCGGTGGGAGTGGGCAGAGGATGGGGTCCTGCCCGGACAGCCATGGGTTACGTAGGCCTCAGGGAACAAGGAGTTAGAGTAAAGCCAGCAGGGTGCCAGAGCCCATGGGGGCTGATGGGAAGTTCCCCTTACTCCTGCAGACCGCGTTAGTGTGATGGAAGGAAGGAAGGATGGAGGAAACGGGTATGGGTATGCTGGGCATGTCTTGTCTCCAAAGTGAGATCCGTTGCTGGTGCTGCCTTCTCCCTCGACGTGGTGGCCTCTGGTTCTTCTGATTGGCTCCTTGTCCTCTCTTCTGGGCATGGTTGCTTATCTATTCCCAGGGGTGTGTGGGGAAGTTGTAAGCATTTATACACTGCCTTGGAGATGGGTGACTCCATCCGTGTCCCCCTGCCTATGGGTGAACAAGAGTCCTACTTGGCTGGTGGAGTTGTCCTCGAGCTGGGGACTTCCCTGTGGTGCCTGGAGCCAGGGCTGGAGGGGTGAGTGTGTGCTTGGCTGGGCTTGAGGGGCTGAAAGACACCAACTGGAGACCAAGATTGGGCTCTACTTTGCAGGTTCCTTTGACCCCGCCACCTTCCTACGGTGTATGGATTAGGGTTTTGTCAAGGCAGGATCATTCCCCCCCACCCCCACTCCGGGTCCCAGTGCCGGCCGTGTCACTAATCTGAAGAAACTGCAGCCTCAGTTTCTCCATCCTCAAAGAAAATTGGGGAAGTCTGTCATCCTTGCAGGGTGATTGTAAGGTTTAACGGAGGTCACGGCAGCAGCCCACGCCGTAACAGATCCCGCCAGCCTGAAAACCACTTTCTTGCTCTCGGTGCCCTGTTGTTATTTATCATCATAAGGCGTAGTGAAAGGCGGAGAATTTGTTTCACCTGGCCCGTGCTATGTACTGGGCTCCATTCTAAGAGGCCTCCCTTGCTGTGTCCTAGTCTTGGAGGGTGTTGCTGGAGAGACACAGCTGTAAACCCCAGAGCCACGCGCTCTGCAGCCGGCCAAGTCTCCTGCAAAAGCCTGTGGCTCTTTCTGTAGTGTTTGTAGAATCTGTTAAGGTTTGCGGCTCTCCCCGCTTTATCTTTGTTCAAAAGGAGCCACCCAGCATTTGAACTTGGTACCTCCTTCCCTGTCTGCCTCTGGTCTTGTGTCAAACCTGCCAATCTGTGGAAGTTGAAAGTTGCTGCACTTAGCCCCAGTATGTGGTAGAAGATAAAGGCGCAAGATGAGAAGAAAGAAACGTATGGAAACTTCCACCTGCCCTGAGGATTGGAGCGTGGAGAGGGCCACTGCTGCAGGCCCCCTCTCCCACCATCCCCCTGCCTCTTCCTGTAGCATCCTGGACCTATAGGACTTACAGGGCAGGTATCTCCTCTCTCTGCTGGCATTGTCCATCAGAGTTGTTCTGTGGGAAAGAGGGTGTTGCCCTGAACTTCCAGTGGGAAGGATTCATTGCTACTGTGTGAGGCACATAGTAGGTCTTCACTACTCATACCCACTGACTCTCTACACGGATAGGTGTTTGGGAGAGGGCCCTTAGGATTCTGCTGCCCCTGCCAAACGAGACCAGAGGCGCCTCTGATACTTCTGGGGACCTCAGGGGGACCAGGGTGGGCATCCTCACAGAGTGAAGCCAAAGGAGGAAGCCCTCCTTATCCCAGTACAGGACTCACCACACGTTACTGAAGGTCTTCTGGGTCCTTCCCTGGAGGTGTGTGATGTGCATGTGTGTGTACACAGGGACACACGTGATGGGGGTGGGGATGCTGACGCAATCCAGAGCGGACAGTTGTTCTTAGGAGTGAGGACAAGGGGAGTGCTAGAAAGGGAGAGGGGAATCAGGCCCGGGCCAGGCTTGGCTTCCTCCATTCAGCAGCAGAGCCCGGAAAACTCAATTATGGTTCTTCCCACCAGGAGCCGCTCTCCTGGCTTCTGCTCCCTGTGGGGTCCCCCACCCAGCCTCTGCCACTGAGCTGCCCCTGTTCCCCAACTTCCCGCGCCCCAGGCAGCTGTAACCCTTGCATCTCCTCATCCCCACCTTGCTCCTTCCTTCCCAGCTCACCGCTCACCTCATCAGCACTCAGTGGGCTGTCATGTCCCTCGCAGGGACCCTGGAACTTCAGCACTTTGTCCCCAGGGACCTGATGACCCCAGCTCCCCTCCAATGGGATCCTTTCCTCGTGGAAACCCCCTTGAAGAGTAACCCCCACCCCCCACACCCCTTCAGGTTTTAGTTTGGAGCCATCCCATTTCCAGGGCCAGGGTAGTTCTTTCCTCCTGAACCCAGGTTTTCTCCCGATCCTACAGGCTGCTTGGAATAGAGCTGTTCTGTGCAGCCACAGCACTTGGCTAAAAAATGTCAGGAATGTGGAACTTTATTTTCCCCCTCCTTCCTTTCCAGCTTTCTCTTTCTTAGCTCTGCGTCTGGGAGAGGTGGCGCAAGGGGCAGTTTTCTGCCCAGCTCTCTGGTCCCTGGGTCCTTTTGTAGGTAGAATCCTGCCTGACCTCCTGCAGGGTGTGTCCGATTCCAAAGGAGCCTTCCCCTCCCCGCGCGCTGCTGCCTTCCCTTCCAGCTTCCAATTCTGTGCCACGTTTCAAACTGAAACAGGCAGAGGAAGAGGAAAACTCTTTCATTAGCGAATGGAGCAGGAGGAAAAGGAGCGCCTGGCAGGGAGAGGAAGCGATTTATATACCACCTTTAAAATGTCATTTTGAGACAGAAACTCTTTTTTTTTTTCCCTTTCCTTTTCTTTCTCTCTTTTTAAAGCTCATTTATAGGCTCTGCAGCTGCAAAGAGACGTTTCTGAAAATCTGGGCCTGTCACTCGTTGGTTTGGTTTCTCTTGGGTCTGCCATGACTTAAGATTTAGGGCCCAGGGGAGTTTTTGCGTAGTGGCTGGTTTTCGCTTTTTAATGGTTTTGGAGGCCGATACGGCTGATCTACCTTTTCTCCAGGAACTGCCTCCTTTCCTCTCCCTGACACATTGATGGACTTGTCAGGGTGAAATGTTTGCAGCATGTACTGTGAGGGCCCATTGTGTCGCAGCCTGTTAGTACACGGGGTCTGTGGCACCAGCTCACGTCCTCCCAGACATACCTGTAGGCGTCATCGGCTGGAATGAGGCCGCTGGCCCTGTCTCTCAGTGTTAGCATTGTAAAACAGTCCTGTTTAACACCCCAGTCTTAATAGGAGGACATGAGCAAACAGCCCAGGCACACGGCTCTGGACGTAGGTCGTTTGCCTGTGGCTAACTTACAGCACGCTTGGAAGAAGTTGCTTCACCAGCGGTTAGAGTGCCTGGCTTTGTGCATCTCCCCTGTAGTCTCTGAAGTAGTTATCAGTGGTGTTCTAGAGAAATTAGAGGAAACCGAGAGGGGCCCCAGATTCTCCTGGGCGTCCTTGTTCAGTGGTTGGATTTCTGCGTACATGGCTCAGTGATTTGAGCAACAGAGAAGAAATTGGGAGCTGGATTTTCTCCTGGTCAAGCCTTTGGTGTAATTCTATCCTAAAGGATGGCAGGGTGTGCTGGTTATTTCTGCTTCTTCGCTTAGCAAAAATGTGAAATCCAGAAAGATGGTGTTGATTGGTTAGTGAGGTTTTTATAAAATATTTATCTATTTATTTGAAAGACAGAGTTACAGAGAGAAATGGAGAGACATACAGAAAGATCTTCCATCTGCTGGTTCACTCCCCAATTGGCTGCAGTGGCTGAGGCTGGGCTAGGTTGAAGCTAGGGGCCAGGAACTCCATCTCAGTCTCCTATGTGGGTGGCAGGGGCCCAAGTATCTGGGGCATCTGCTGGTGCTTTCCCAGGCACATTAGCAGGGAGCTGGATTGGAAATGGAACAGCCGGGACTTGAACCTGCATCCATGTGGGATGCTGGCATTGCAGGCTGCGGCCTAACCCACTGAGCCACAGCATCGGCTCTAGTGAGTGAGTGTTTAACCCTGACTACCAGTTAAGGACTAATCTGTCCTTGATGGTAGTCTTAATGGTCTCCACAGTCACACTGCTGACTGGCAGGATTAGCGTCATGGCTGGGTCTGTGAGTCTACCTTCCACCTTTAGGTGGCTCATCAGGTACCCTGGCTGCATTTCATTTCAGAGCTGACGTGTTTTGAGACAGAGACCTTGTCCCCACATCCTACAGTGATAGCTGTCTGCACTTTA